GGCAAAAGCGATCTCTCATCGTAAGAGTGCTCAATTCAATGTGAATTAACCACAGCGCACGCCGAGGGAGAAGAAGCAAAGCCTTGTTTTTCTAGCCTTGAAAACTGTTTTTAACAACCCCAAGTCACAGTCCTGCTTCCTCCACTAAGCCCATCTCCACCACGTGGATAGGGTCCTTGGCCCCTCTGAATTTCTACGTGGTTTATATTCCAAGTCACACACTCCAGCACTTGGATATCTCATGTCTTACTTCCATCGGTCTTCATAGGTGAGCTCTGTCTGCCCAGGCAGAATAGAAATAATTTCTTCCCCTTCCTCACTACATCCCACAGAATCTAATGTGGTGCTGTGTGTTAAAGAAATCCCCTCTCAAGGTCACTCACCAATGTCAAAACAGTGCCAACAGGATGAGAAGTCCTTTGGTCCCTCTGACTTCTCTGGCATAGTCAAGAGAGAACATTAGGTTAGGCACAAGGAATATGAAAGTGAGCAGGATCTTTCAGCTAATTTTCTAGAAGGAGGATCATTGCAGTCACATGTTTGATCTCTACCCTCCATAATATGGAGTCAGCACAGTCTTACCTGTCACTAGGGTCAAGTCCCCAGACAAAACCTCAGTCACAAGGCACTGATTCCCTGATGCACTTCAATACATCCCAGCCAGCGAAAGATTTATATGCACGCCCTTAGCTAATATCTGGACAGATTATAGCTCAGTTTCTGCATGCTCCTTCCTTCTTGGGCTCTCAAGTCTTCTGTCATTTTTGACCAGAGAGGTCATTTTCCATTTGATTGCCTTTGTGGATTTTCTTTCTCAACACTGGTGCTCTTTGTATAATATTAGCATTTTTTCATTCATTCTCCAGATTTAGGAGTATGGCATTAATAAAATTTGAAAAATGATATTCTATCAAGAGTGACAGAACTTCTCTCACCTGGTGGTCTTTAAATTGTAACAGGTTTGTTGACACCTTCAGTTCTAAAACTTGCCCACTTTTTTCCTCGAGAAGCCACACTAAGTTGTAAAATATATCTCTCTTTATAGGTAGATATATAGATAAATATTTATACTCATATATATATAAATGCATTTTTTAATAAAACAAAGTAAAATATATATTTTTTTCTCTATGAGAAGAGCTTTTTGAAGGCTTGACATCACTGATCTTTGAGGCACACTGTTGGATGACCAGGCTGACACCCCCTTGGGGCACCCTTTGAGTAACAGTGGGGATTTTCCTATGGGGAGAAAGTCATCTTTCACAGAAAACACGGGAATAACTCATAACTCAAGGCAACTAAAGGTTTAATTTCTGTCTTGAGAGGGCCCCATAGGAAGCACCAGCCTTCAGCAAAATCCTTATGAAAGGATTCCTTCTCTGAATTTTCCAAACAGGCTTCTTTGTTATTACCCCAAGAGAGTGAACAACCAGTCAGGGAATTAAATCTCCCTTATCGTTTCCAGACTATTTTACCTTGCTGTGCACACCCCATTGGTGGGAGAGCCACAAATGGTTCCTCAAGCTCCACTCCAACCACCAATCTGCCGTGTCTGAAATGCCCCAGCCCTTGCTGGCCTCACGTATTTGACTCCTACACCATGGGGAAGTCCCCCTTGGATTCCAAAAGAAAATTCAACTCCTTGGAATCCAAAACTAATAAACTTTCACAGAGTGGCCCCAGGTGGATTGGTTATCACGATATGTCAGTCTCACCTAACCAATAAGGCGGCCGGTTGGCAAGTTCCCAGGATGAATATTCTCCTATGACCATTGGATTAGAGGAAGCCAAAAGATTTTCGGCCATCTACATGCTCAACTTACACCCCACCTGGGTTCTGGGGTAGAGATCTTGTGACGGTTGGGGCCCTGCAAGGCAATTAAAAGAAATAAAGCAAAGTATTATATTTTAATTGATGTAATCTTCAAGCTCCCAGTGGAATCTGGGGTGATATCTGACTAGAGTTACCCCGGGTATCAATTGATGGCTATTCTGTGAAAGTGCATTTAGGAAGACAAAACCCTACGAATCCCGAACTTCATTAACATGTGTATCCGCTTGGGGGGAGAGGGGGGTTGGCTCAGACTCCCAGGACTACAAATTGAAAGAAGCCACCTAGATTTTCCTGGGATCTGAACAAAGGCCAAAGGGGGTGGGGGAGTTGGAGAAGGTAGAGAGGGTGGAGAGAGAGACAGAGAGAGAGAGAGAGAGGAGGGCAGGTGGAGGGGAAGACCCAAGTAGGTTTATATTTTTATTTGCTTTTAGCGTACCTGGATGTCGGACACACCAAACTATCCTTCCCAAACCCAAACAGCTTTCACCCATCACTAACACTTCAGGGTTTGTTTCTGTTTTATTGTAAATATTCCAGTTGAAGAAAGATAAACAGACAAGAAAAAACCGCTTTATACAGTATACAGAGTCAGATAGAAAATACAGAATGGAAAAGAAAGCCGACAACCAACAGATAAAAAGTGGAGGTGAACCAAGGAAGAGGACTAGCTGGTTGCAGTTTCACTGACTAGCTTGGGTGAGGCGCAGCGACAGTCCCCGCAGCTAATAGAAACTGTCTAGCGCTGTCAGTCTTATCTTCACTTCACGCGGTGAAGGACACAGACTTCATAAATGATTCATGGGGACACTTATTTCACTAATCCATTAAAAAATGTTGGCTATTGATCAAGATATCCTGCTCATAAAAACAAGTTCTTTAAAAAAAAAACAAAAAACAAAAATCAAAACAAAACAAAAAATCCCTTCCCGCCCCGGTGTGATCTGACAGTAGAGACCACATTGCTGGAAGCAAGGAACAGAGCTGTGGGTTAGAACAGTGTGGCACCATTGGGGTCTGCAGTCAGGCGGCCTTCGGTGTCCTTCCCACCAAATCCACGAGACTCGAGGCAAGGTTGAAAAAAATACTCGAGTCCTCTCAGAGCTTGCCATCATTTGATGGTTAAAGAGGAAAAAAAAAAAAAAGATTCAAATTCATGAGAGAGAAGGTCAGCTGGCATCCTTGAGGGAAATCATCAGGGTCCCATTTTGGCCCCCAGGATGGCAGTTCTAACTAACAGGACTGGCACAAAGAAGCTGTTGAACTACCCAAATGGTAAAAACAAAACAAAACAAAAAAACACCAAAAAACCAAAAAACCCATGGAATTAAGCTCATCGTCTTCCAAAGATGTCTTTATTTTAGTACATTCAGAACAGAAATGTGAGGATAGTTGGATTCAAGGTGACAGTGGTGGTGGTGGTGGTGGCGGTGGTGGTAGGGGCTATTTATTTCTGTCTCCCTCTGAACTGTCTAAGTTTACAATCAGGAATTGCATAGAATTTGTTTTCCATCAGAAAATGAAAACTGCGTGAAACTCCCAGCTGGTGAAGCCAAGCAAAGGTCACAGAGATGCTGGGAAGCTCTTCCCCTCAGCTGAGTGTGTTGGACCCCGCAAACATCTCACAGAGAAAGCAGTAACCAGCAGCCATCTGAGAGCCTGGAAAGCATCAGTCGTTCTGATTTCGGAGATGGAAGAGAAGTTAAATATTTGACTCAAACTCACACGAGGGGACTTCTGCCCCAGCTGAAGTTAGAGCTCAACAGGCCCCAGTTTCCAGCCCTGGGTATATCAGCTGTGAGACCCCACCTGTGTCCTAGGAACCTGGCACGTTCTTGATTATTTAAAGGTCTTTCCACTTAATAAACACGCACAGCACACACTCGCCCACATACACGTGCGCGCGCGCACACACACACACACACACACACACACACACACTCCTGCACCCAGGTCTCACATCTAGTAGAAAGAAATCACCCAATCCACAATAGTCTTGGGGGTCTGGCTTCATAGGCAGTACTGAGTTTGGTTAAAGAGATGCCCTTGACAAAGGATGCACCATACCTATAGGGGGACCCCACCCCACTTCTCCCCTGTGACTAGCACATTCCATCTGAAGCCAAGCCAGGGTATGGGAAAAGTGTTTTACCCTCACTCCGCTCCTTAAGCAAGGCCCCCAGACACCTCATGCATTCTGCTCTCCTCCCCTGTCTCTTTCTTCAGAGATCACCTTCACAAAAGACCAAATCAAACCCAGTGGTAGTGAAAGTCAGAAAGCGAGAGAGAAAGAGAAGACATAGTAACTCCTGAAATCCCAGGCATTTCAAGGTCTCTCTGAGTAAACCATGAATTGATTGGATTTTGGCATTTAAAAAATTACTTTAATGGACTTTTGAGACTCTCCACCTTATTTTCCCCAAGACCCTTCTCCTACACGCTCTGGAGCCCCCAACCCCCACTCAGAAAAGAGAGGTCGGCACCTGAAATCCAATGCACTGGCCGCTCCATGTCCTAAAATTTAGGAAAAAGAAACGGATTATTTAGACTCCCCATGCCTAACGCAGCCTCCCCCTCCAAAAAACAAAAACAAAAAGACCCCACCCCCCCCCCCCCAAAACAAATGGCTAAATTTGAGACAACACGAAGAAGAAAAGTGGGGCGGGGCGGGCGAAGGTGGGGGAAGGGAAAACAAAACAACATTAACAAAAATATACAAATCCAGAAAAGAAAAACTTCCCTGTTGAGTTTAATTTGTTTTCCTGTAAGAACTAGACCCAGGGTACAATGGCCCCTTCCTAGGGGAAATTCCACTGATGATTCCACCAAATTCATTGGACAGGTCTGAGCAGGGACCCCCACCCCAGACTCTGTAATTCTGGCGGGAGGGAAAGGCCCACTGGGAGAAGATGGGTCCTTGTGGCCAGGAGGGAGGGCGTTCCCTCGCAGCTGGGGTGCAACGTCTCTGGGTGGTCCCAGCTCCCTGCCCTGGGCGCTGGCTCTGGCCGGGGCGGCAGGCTCTCTGCGCTCTTTCGGTCAAGTTCCTGGATCCAGGCTCCGGCGAGAAGCGTGGACGCCGCACGAGTCCTGGCTCCCCGCGGAGCGCAGCAACCCCCGGCCGGCCCTCCCGCCTCCCCGCCCGGCCTGCACGTGTCCGGCGCCCCCGGGGCTACTCGGGCTCGCTGCTGTTGGTGGTCTTCTCCCACTCCAGGCTCTCCTCGCTGCGGGCGGGAGACGGCCGCGCCCGCAGGCCCTGGAACCTGCGGCACTCGGGGCAGACGCGGATGTGTGTGCAGCCCCGGGCCACCAGGGCGGCCTCCTGGGCCAGTCTCTGCGCCAGCTGGTCGGGCTCCCCGGCCCCGCAAAGCTTGCCGTTGCTGAGCGTCGCAGTGCCGCGCGGCCGGCGCTCCTCGGGAATGGGGGGCCGAGGCGGAGGCACCCCAGCTCGCCGCCTGCGGGGGTGGACACTGTCCTGACACAAGATGATGCTGCGCAACTCGGTCACCATCTCCTGGCAGACGGACACCTAGGGGGGGAAGGAGGAGGTCACAGTCCAACGTCTCAGAACCAGCCCCTGCGGGTCCCTGGCGTGTCCCTTGCACATCTGCTTGGGTGGCGGGGGGCGGGGGCGGTGTCTCCGAATTGAATAATCGTTGGTATGGAGATATTGGGAAGACCTGTCAACCCATCCCCTCATTCCACCTCCCACTTAGCATTTGAACAGGCTCCCTACCATAGTGCTCCACACCCCTGCCAGCTGGTCGCCTAGTCTTTGCGGCACACCTCCAAAGACATTGGCCTCACTATGTTGGGACAAAGCCCATGAAACAGTTCTTCCCTCTACAGACGTCACAATTCGTCTTCCTAAAATTTTCTTCCATCCATCCCTGTTAGATTTATACCCTGAAGCCTACTAAGTAAATAGCCTATCTTCTGCAGGTCAGTGTTTCAAGTACCTGAAAAATTCACTCTCCGTGAGCATTCTGTTCTCAGGCTAAAGACTCTCGTTCTTTGGGTCGAGTGGTTATAGCTAGAAAGAATACGCACTATAACAACAAAAGGAACAGCAATCACCACCCTCTAGGTCCACAGCCTCCCAAAAAGAAATCCCCGGGTCCAGCTCCGTTTCAGAATATTTTAGATTTTAGAGTGGTTTTACAATGCCCATGCTCTATACTGTGTATCGAAGCCAGTGGGGTCTAGGACAGACCCTATATTCAAACACATTAGAAGTTGTTAAGAGTAAATCCTGAGAGTTCTCATCACAAGGAGAAAATTGGTTTTCCTTTTTTTTCCTTCTTTTTTATTGTATCTGTATGAGATGACAGATGCGAGCGAAACTTACTGCAGTGATCATTTCACAGTATCGGTAAATCAGACCATTACCCTCTATGCCTCACACTTATACCGTAATGTATGTCAACTATTTATCAATAAAACTGGAAAAGAGCCCATTAGCATTTCTGTAGCAAAACGTTCATACCTTTACACTGAGTGGGACAAAGACCGCAAACAGTAACGCTAGCCTCGGACCTGTGCAAGTTTTGTCGCCCAGTGTACTTTGTATAAAATTTATTTAAAAATTTGGAACTTTCCAAGCCTTTTAGGTTTCAGAGTTGTGGGTGAAGAATCATGACCCTGCACGGCTGCTACTTCTACTCTACCCATTTCATAGATGTGGAAAGGGAGGCTCAGCGAAGTTATAGACCTTGTGAAAAATCACCTGACTCACCAAGAGCTGGCCCAGAATTTGAACCTAAACCTATCCACTCCAAAGTACGTGCATGCTCTGTTTAGTTCTCTACTCTGTGCTGGAAAGGACGCTTTCCGGGACGATGACAGGAGAAAAAAAACCTGCTCTTTCATGGTCTTTCTTCCAGTCTTCTCATTCTATCAATGGAATGGTTGTTCTACTGGAGCCAAAGAGCTAATGGAGCCTTTACTCTTCATTTTAGCTCTTGGAAGTCCTCAATGAAGTTTTCGAGGTATATCCTGAGGGTGCTTAAGCTTTTAAGAATAACCAGATCCTCTATCTGGAGTGGCTGCAGAGAAGGAATATCATCTAATGGGATACGACCCATTTAGACCCTTCCTAAACTGAGCCCTGTTACTAAATATCAGAGACTCTGGGCAAGTCCCATAACATCTCTGTGCTTCCAGTAATAACCGTAAAGCTAAAACAATAGCACCTGCCTAATCTATTACATGTGACAAGACATACATTTATCGGCTGTCAACTATGTATCAAGCACTGTGCTTTGCACGAAAATAAGATAGCGGCCACAGTCCTGCCTTTTAGGCAATACAATGTTCAGTAGGGAGGCTGATATGAAAATAATTGCAATACAATGTCTAAATGCTTGATCAACAGGTTGCAGTGGTGTTGGAAAAGAGGAGAAATGATCAACTCCTCCTATCCAAGGATGAAGGCAGGAGAACTGGGGAAGGTTTCAGAAAGGAACCCCTGAACTGAGTCTTACAGAGTAAGTAAGTAGCACCATTATTTCAGGAGTGGACAATTCAAGAAAACCAGTAAAGTTGGGGGAAGAAGTTGGGGTGGGGCTGGGGAACCAAAAAAACCTGGTGTCAGGCAAGGCAAGGGAGGAGAAAGCTTCTGGAAGCTTCTGGAAGGAACTGTCCACTTCATGAAGGGCACACTGAGGTCCAGTAAGGCCCCTTGGGTTCTCTTTGGTTTTGTCTGTTGGGAGGGGTTAGATCTCTTAGCAGTGACTTTTCAGTGCAGGGGTGGGGAGGAGCCAGACTGCTCTGCATTGAGGACTGGATGCGAGGTCAGGAACTAGAGACAGCTGGATCCCCTGGTTTGGAGGAGGGGAAGGACAGCACAAGAATAATAGTAACACTGCTACTATTTTATGGCTTTTTGTTGAAAAGCCCAGCATGGAGCCCAACAAGGGGCTTGAACTCATGACCCTGAGGTCAAGACCTGAGCTGAGATCAAGAGTCAGATGCTTAACTGACTGAGCCACCCAGGTGCCCCAATATTATTATTTCAAAATAGAAGATAAACTTGAGCATAATTTTAGATTTTGGGGAGAGAGCAAGAAGCAAACATATAAGGGAGAAAAAGGCAAGCATAAAAGGGAGAAAAAGGAAAATCCTGGAGTAGCCAAGGGAAGTTGGATGAGGGCAGAGGCAGAGGGGTACCCAGGAGCATCTGCGGTGGCTGCAGGGGTGGCTTTAGCTGTGGGTAAAGTTTTTAGTGGGATTTTAATTTGGGGCCAGCCACTCCTGATTTTGTGGGAGTGGGCAGGAGTAAAATTAACCATTACGCATGAAGGGAAAAAGGGATGTGACGAGCGGGTGATGGTTTGGAAGTCCTAGTGGGTATGGGAAAGAGTCTGAGCACAGAAAAGTAAAAGGACCAGAAGGCAGTGCTGTATTGAGGCCCCGCCTGAGGCTGGACCCCACAGACGGAGGGGCACATGTATACCCCTGTTTGTCCAGTGTAAGGGAGGAGACTTACAACAACCCAGAGTTGAGAGACTGAGAGAAAAGCGAACGTGCTTTAAAAACCAAATAATGCCTTCAGAATGTCAGGACCGGTGCCCCTTCTCAGAGGTAGAATGGGAAAGAATGGGATAAAGTCTTCTGCCTTCTATCCAGACTTCTCAGTCTGTGTGAAATTTACTTAACCCAGTTTTTAAGCCACAGGTTTGGGAATTAAATGGACCCAAAATCCCTGAGAAGGAAGATGTACTTCTTGGCCTTACGTGAATTGGGATATCTCTAAACATCTTTACCAGTAAGGCGAAACATACCAAAGACAGAAGAACCAAAGTCGTCCCTTCCACTGGTAGCCTGGTACTTTGGCCTGTTCCTCTTTGCCCACACTACACCTTATATTATAGTTGTAGAAGACTTCGTTGTGAGTAAAACACACATTATGTATTTATCATCTGGGCTGTTCTGGAAAAGAGTCTGAAGCTCAGGAGTTAGGTGCACTTTCTGCCGGGGCATTATTATAAGTGATGAAGCATCAACCCAGACCGCTTGCCCGTGGGACCGGGACTCTTTCTGCCTCGCTGTCCCGTGGGTGCTCCCCCCTCTTCCAGGATCTCACAGGTTTTGTCTGAAATGACTTTCGTAGGTGCGTGAGCCCATCGGCCAACACCACAGGTCGTACCCGTTAGAAGGTTTACCTCAGTAGCTTCCGAGTGTCGGAGAGTCCATAAAAACTCCAACATAGCCATAAAAATGGCCACGATTAAGCCACAGATAAGAACCACAAAGATTCCACCAATATTCTCCATCCCCAGTCCTGCAAGAGAGTGAGAACAAACACAAAATAACATAAGAGGGCTATAAGACATACTCATTCTACCAAAATGCTGGAAGTCGTTTAACCAACCAGAACCTGAGTCTTATAGATGCTTTTCACACATCTTCCTTGCAGCAGATATAATTATCCTTTTGAGGAAAAAAAAAAAAAGGTGTGGCATAGCTGGAGTAGAAGAGGGGAAGGAGAGACGAGTTGGAAAAGGAGGAGTCTGGTGAGAAGCCTCCAAAAGGCCTTCTGGGGGTGGGAGGTGAGGGTGATTTTAAGAAAAGGGTCAGGGGTATCTGGGTGGCTCAGTTGGTTAAGCGTCCAACTCTTGGTTTTGGCTCAGCTTGTGATCTCAGAGTCGTGAGATCGAGCCCCATGTTAGCTCTGTGCTCAGTGGGGAGACTGCTGGGGATTCTCTCTCCCTTACCCCCTGCCCTCCACTGCCCACTCTCTTTCTCTCTCTCAATCTCTCTAAAATAAATAAATAGATAAATAAAATCTTTTTTAAAAAGTGTCAGGGAAAATTTGATTTATCCTGCAGAGACATGATACCAAAATACCTATAAATTCTAGGTGTTTCATAAAAATTGTAGTCCATCTTTACAATACCGGGTTTGTTGGATATAAAGCGGTTTTTCAACCAAGCTATGGATAGAAAAAAAATTCCATTTCTGTATCTGTGTCAACAGGCTACTAAGACACGTATTGAGACAGAACGTTTTTATCCCTCTGTACGGGTGGTAGCCATCAGAACCACGTGGGAAGCTTGTTCAAAATACAGATTCTTCGTCCTTACACCACCAGACCTCTTGAATCCATATCTCTGGGGTGGGGCCCAGGAATCTGCATTTGAAAATACATTTTACAGGTGACTCTTTTTTCTAGCCAGACCTAAAATTCTTTTGGAGATTAGTATTTTTTATTCGTTCTATCCAGAAAAATAATAAAATTATTTTTATTATTTAGTATATTTTATTCATGATATACATCACGAAGTTCCTTGAAATCAGGCAGATTCCAGTGGTATTCTCCCCACCAAGCACGATCCCTGGCAGATAGCCTATACTCAGTAAATATTTGTAGGGTTTTACGCTTGTTTCATTTCCACAGTGTCAAACATTGAGTTTAGCTACGTCACCGGATGCTTTACTTGGCATCAGAGAAACCCAAACTTCAGGAGCGTGTCATAAGCCCATGAGACCCTGATTTAACAGGGGCCACCGTCATAGATCAGAAAGCACCTTTGATCCAGGAAATTGCCAGGAGGGTAGCCTACGCCCTGTGCTAGTCTGGAATACTTGCGCATTTGAGTGCGTAATCAGGGGTGGGACACGGAGCTATGTCAGCGTTAGGGAAAGCCAACCTCACACACCACTATAAATGAGCTTAGTTCTGCATCTTGGAGAGCTGGAAAAATCGCTCAACGTAGCCAGGAGCCATTTCAAGATGCCTCGGGTTTCCTCTCACAAAGCCTCGAGTGGATGTCTGTTGCTTTTTTGTTTTGTTGTGACAATGACCCAGCCCGTGTAGAGATGGGGGGGGGGGGGGGGGGGGGGGGGGGGGGGGCGTCTACACTAATCATCTGCTATGAATCCTCTCTTTTGAATAACCCCAGACAAGGGGATATTTAAAAACTCAATTCTAAGGGAAGGCATATAGGGTTTGGAGAAGATTTCTACTTTCTGGGAGGAAGGGGGTTAGGGTTCATTTCAACACCTGCCCCTCTAACCTGGGATCATTTGGGCAGAAAGTTTTTTGACCATGGGAACATCAGAACCTACGTGAATGGGGCAGACACAAAGGACCCTTGAGAAAGAAGAGTGCACAGACGCTGGGATGCTCCGGTGTCCGCTCCAGGAGCAGGTGCATGGGTGGAGGGAAGTACATCTGAGCATCATGGGTGAACTCCATGGGTGATACTCCAGCTGTGGAGAAGGCTGGATGGAGGGCCTTAGTGAAGGAGAAGTGGTACCCCATAACCTAGATGAGGTATGCCCACCCGTTCAGGTAAACAGACCCCCCAAGTGACTGTGAAGGTCCTGTAAAACTCTTTGGTCACTTTGGGATAGTTGCACTTGACACACACACACACACAAAAAGACTAGGATCCCCCTGAAAGGCCTCAACCTCCCTCCCCTCCTGTTTCTGCAGAGGGGAAGGCCCTCTCAGCGGGACCAATTCTGCCATTTGGCCTCCCTTCCTGTCTCAGCATCACCCGGACCCTCTGACTCTCTTCTTGCCCTTGACTCTCCCTCAGTGTAGACACATACTCACGTGCCTCTCTTCTCAGAGGGAAAATAAAAACCCTCCTTCCCCTTCCAGCTCTGTCTAGTGAACACCCCTTCTCTCTCCTTCCTTCCCTGGCCAAGATTTTTGAAACAGTTGTCTATATCAGAACTATTTTAAGACATTTTAAAGCCCTTAAAAAAAGCATACATTTGGAGACCCCCTCTCACATAACAGCAAGTAAAAGAAAATGCACCCATATCTTACGTTAAATGCATTTTTAAAATTTTGCTTGTGATGTGACTGAGTAGCAAGCAACATTTAATTTATAATTGGCTGTGATTTCTCAGCAATCATTGTGCATACAAGGGAATGTTTGCAAAATGAGAAAAATCTAACCCCCAAAATTGTTTCTAAATGTAATGAAGTTTTTATGAATATTAAATTTAAAAATTAATGAGGTCGAAACAATGTTACATTTTGGAGATATTTAATTAAACGTGTCTTAATTTAATTTTGCAGTTTCTTTTTTGCATCTTGAAGCTAATAAATTTTTTCAGGCCTCAAACATAATTTTGGATGCTTGAAAACCTTTTAGGCCCAAGGAAGCTGAAAAAGAAAATGGTTCTATCTGAATGAACTTTTGTTTTTCCCACTCACTCATCACGCAATTCTGTCCTGCATCACTAAAACCACCCACACCAAGGTCACCAACGAACATCATGTTTCTAACCTTTTGGAAATTTTCCAGTCCTGATCTTAAGTGACCTCTTCTAGCACTTGGCATTGCCAACCACAACTCCTTCTTGACTTTTTATAAAGACATTGCCCTCTTGCAAACTTCTCCATGCCTTTCGCTGGCTCTAATGCACCTTCTCTCCTCGTTTCCCTGCATTTGGTCTCCTGCCTCCCCATCCTGCACTGGCTAGTACCAAGGCCTGCTGATTTTGCCTCCTAAATACCTTTTACTTTCCCTTGCTACCGCTTTCCTTGTTCATGTTCAGGCTCCCACTGTCGCTTGGTTGTACTACTCAACTCAGCAGCCTCGGAAAGGACCTCCTACTTGCGGCTGCATCGCTCAACTCTACCCTCCACTAAGTTTTCCTGAGTGATCTTCCCAAAATGCAAAATCTAACTGCGAGAAATCTCTAGTTACTGTTCATAGTTCCCAGCCCATAGCATTGTTGCCCCTGTCTTCTTTCTGTACCCTCCTCTGCCTGGAGCCTACCTCAAACCCCCAGACACACACTGCGCTGAACTTAACCTTTCCTTTAAGGCTTTGCGGAGTGGTCACTTCCTCCAGGCTGCCTTCCCTGATCTTACCTAGCTCTGTTAGATATACGGCTTTGGTGTTTCACTGATCATACACTGTGACTCATTCTAACACTGCATCAAATAATGCCCTAGTTTGATCTGCTATCTCTGGATTTCTCACTATATTTTGAGTTCCTGGAGGGAAATATCCAGGTCTCGCTCAACTCTGTAACCTCACAATCACGGTGCCTGGCCCGTAATCGGAGCCCGATAAATGTTTGTGGAAAGAATGAACAGAAAGTAAGAGGATAAAGACATCTCCTGTGTAGAATTCTGCATCATCAAAAGCTTTGGATCCATACTGTGAAACGTATTCATTCCTAATTAAATTCTGTTTGAAATAATAGTAAAGTGTGACAGCCCTTGTTGGGGGCTCATAGCCTGGTCACAGAAGCAGATGGCCCAGACTGTGAGGAGTGGCTGGCCAAGGCGGGACTGAACTCTGACATGGGCTAATCCACAATGTGGACCCAGGGTACCGGGTCCCCAGCAGGTGCAAGGGCATGAGGGAGGGTTATACACAGGCAGGTGATTGGAGCTGGGATAAGTTTGATCAGATCCAGGAAAGCTTCTCAGAGTAGCTGAGGTTTTAACAGGATGCCGGGAGAAAGCATGTGTCACTGAAACACCCCCAGGTCTTGCTTTCCCAGCTTCTCAAGTTTCAGGTCCAGCATGTTAATCATGGCTGTTAGCTCCAGTGTGCTGAATCCTGGCTGGGCGGCCTCCCCGCCCAGGAGCGAGCTTGTAAGCCATCGGTGCCTTTAGGAACTTATTGGAAAGTGGAGGCAAGAATAGATTGCTGGCATAGTCAGAGTTGAGAAACAGATGGAGTGGGAGCAGGCAGCGAGTGCTAGCAGAGCACAGCAGTTCTACTTAACGCTGCCATCAGTCATTCTCCTAAAGTCAAATGCCTTTGCTGCACACAGCCTCTCCTCGAGCACAGACACCCTCCAGTCTGATCACAGGCCCTCCATGCACTCAGAGCCGCCTCGGCCCCTGCAAGGGGGGAGTCGGCCAATCACATCCCCTTTCCCTTCTTAGCTGTATGCCACAGAAGCCACCTAGACAGATGGCTTTCAGACTGACAGTCTCTCTTGACACCTGAGTCTCAGAGCCTCAGCTATGCCCCAGCAATAAGACCATATCAACTGGAACAGAACCGAACTTCCCCTGAAAACTCTTGATTAAACACTAACCCTGGTGTCACTGCTAGCTTGCCCGCAAATACAAAATTACGGTTGACAAATGCAAACCAACAACTTTCCTTGTCTCTAGAACTACACAGGGGAATGGCAACCTGGAAGGGAGGACCTCGGAGCAGATCTGAATCTCCACCCAACTGCTCTGCCTTCAGTTCTGACCTGAAAGTGATCATTTTTTGGAGTCACATGCCGTACTCCCCTTGTGCATCTCCTGGTGGCACTGTGGAAATTGGCAACTGAGATGCATCGATG